TATATATATATATATATATATATATATATATATATATATATATATATATAACATAGAACAAATACAATTGAATGGAAGATGCAGTACAAAAAGAATATCAATAATCGTGAGTCAATTAATCCAAGTTGAAAGAAAGCTTAAGGGCTCGTAAACATATGTAACCGAATCAAATGAATGAATAGAATTAAGAATATGTACCTTAAACTTCACAAAACTTATCGATTCCCCAAGTTTATTCCTTTATATATGCCCTAAACAAACACCCAAACTTACTATTAATCCTAACTGATAACTTGATGGCATAACGAATCTAAATCACTTTAACGACTAATATTGTAACTAAACTCAACTAAATCATATCATTATATATATATATATATATATATATCCATACTATGCAAACCACATAAGGAGTTTACGCAATCGAGACTCGACTCCCTTTCGGACAGCCCCCTCCCAAGAAGATAAGCAGTCTAAACGAAAATGTCACGTCTTTTGAACGGCTAAAAAAACAGCAGCAAACTCGACTGAAAATCGAGTGTTTTGACCTGGGTTTTATTTTTAGCGATTCAATTCTTTTGGCGATAAAATAACGACAATTATATGTACCAACATTAAGCACATATAGGATTAAATTCGAGAGGAAAACGAGAAGAATTTTTGGGTTTTGAAGACGATTTTAACAAACCCCTAGTTGCTGCCATTATTATTGACTGAATCGGTAACCTTCGAGTCACCGGAACAACTCAAATCTTCCTTAAATAATCCCAAAATTTATAACCCAACTACTAAATATATAGATTCGAGACTGGGACAAAAACTTACCTCGAACCGACAAGAAATCGATGGAACCTTGCTTGCTTTTGGCCGTCGGGTTCCCTCCTAGGTTATCGATGGACACTTCCAAGCTCTTAGGGTTTCTCTCTAATGATTATCACAATTAGAGAAATTAGGGTTAGGTTAGAGGAATTAGGTTAAATAAGGATTAGGGTTAGGTTAAATAAGAAAAAAAAAACCCTAATCTACATAAACCCTAATCTAAATACAAAAGCCCAAACCCATCATCCAAATTGCAAAGTTAAAGTGGGTTATGCAAAACTAACCCCTCAAGATTGGTCAACTTCCTAAACTAACCCAAACTTCAATATATATACCTTTTTTTGTATAAGCACTGATATATATATATATATACACACACACATACATATATCGGACAAGTATTATAATTCTTCCCCCCAAAAGAAAAGATTTCGTCCTCGAAATCAAACTAGGTCCTAAAATACATAGATATGGCACTTATAAAATTTTAAAGAGATGCGAATATTTTGATCGTAGAGATTCTTCCATCTCCCAAGTGGCCTCACGTTCCGGGTGATTTTTCCACAACACTTTGACAAACGGTATAGACTTTTTCCTCATGACTCGTTCTTGCTTGTCTAATATAGCTTCGGGTTCTTCTTCACACGAAAGATCCTCATGGATTTTATCTGATGAATATTGCACTACATGCAATGGGTGATAATTATAGCCTCGAAGCGTCGAAACGTGAAACACATTATGCACATGAGATTGCTGAGGTGGAAGAGCTAAGCGATAAGCGACTTTGCCGACCCTTTCTAAAACCTCGAAAGGACCGATGTACCTTGGACTTAGTTTCCCTTTTAAGCCAAACCGTCGTATACCTCGAAAAGGAGAAACCTTAAGGAACACGTGATCCCCTATGTGGAATTCTAAAGCTTTCTGATGACGATCTGCATAATTTTTTTGACGTGATTGAGCTTCTTTCATTTTTTTCCTTGACTACTGCCACCTTTTCATTAGTGACTCTTACAAGTTCTGGCCCTTCAATAACAGCCTCACCAACCTCATTCCAACATACCAGTGCCCGACATCTTCGGCCATACAGAGCCTCGAACGGGGCCATACCAATGCTTGCATGCCAGCTATTATTATATGCAAACTCTACTAAACATAAATACTCATCCCAACTTCCGGATCATTCCAAAGCACATGACCTTAACATAACCTCTAAAGTTTAGATCATTCGCTCGGATTGTCCATCTGTTTGAGGGTGAAAGGCCGTACTGAACTTGAGTCTGGTGCCCCATGCATTCTGAAAACCTTTCCAAAATCATGAAGTAAATCGAGGATCTCTGTCAGATACTATAGATACTGGTGTGCCATGAAGCCTGATTATTTCTCGTTGAAAGAGTTCTGATAACTTATTGACTGAATACCCTTCTTGAATAGGAAGAAAGTGAGCCGACTTAGTCAATCGGTCGACCACAACCCAAATGGCATTATTCTTCTTAAGCGTCTTCGGTAACCCAGTTACAAAGTCCATTGAGATATCCTCCCACTTCCACACTGGATTTTCTAATGGTTGCAGAAATCCACTCTCTCTTTGGTGTTCGATTTTTACCTTCTGGCAAGTAAGACATCATGCTACAAAGTTAGCTACGTTTCGCTTCATTCCATTCCACCA